GCTGGCCCCCAAGATTGGGAGCCGGCCCGCACAGTCTCCATGCCCCAGAGAACCTAGTTTAAAGCCCTCCTCACCTGGTTAGTGAGCCTGTCTATAAAGATGCTCTTTCCTTTCTTCATCATGTGGATTCCATCTCTTCCTAGTGATCCTTCTTCTTGGAACAACATCCCATGATTGAAGAAGCCAAAACCATGCTTGCAACACCACCCGTGCAGCCATGCATTGATACAGTCTATGTGCTCAGTGAGAGCAGCGTTTGGCAGAAAGGTGGGGGGGGGGGGGGGGGGGAGGGGGGGGGGGGGGGGTAGGGACTGCAGTGGAAGAAGTCATGGATACAGAAGGAAAGGGGGGTACATGATGCCCCCAGATTTATTTTCCATGCTGTAGCAGTGGGAGGGGGCAAATTCAAGACAAACCTTCAATAATTAGATTCTATACCTAGAAAACTATAACAAATTTATAAAGTTTCCATTGTAGAATCTAATTATTGTGGGGTCATCTTATATTGAGGGTTGTCTTATGTTCAAGTAAATATGGTACTTGATGTAACCACATATACTGCCACTCCAATTGTTTTTGGAAGGTCAAATTCATCACATAACTCAGAAAAGGGTTAATACAAATTCCTACTAGAAGCTGATCATCATGCATAATGCCCTTATCTCTCCACTTTCTCCACATTAATGTGAGACCCATACCTTAAAAAGGGATTGCCCCAAATACAGGCCTTCCAATATAATGAAAAATTCTTCCATTGTCTGTATCTTTTCTTTTTGCAGTTGAGGCATCCTAGAAGCTCCTTGTGCAGCCACATTAGTTTCTTACCATTCTTCTTGTGCTTTCATCATGTTGAAACAGGCTATTGTTGAGCTTTCACTGCTATGCCTGTTTTAGGCTTCTAGCCCTTCTGGACAGCTTTATCATTCAGTCTGTCTTGTGTTGGTACCATGCCTACTCCTTGAATCAGATGAAATCTATCTTTTTTAAATCTAGCATCCTAGCTCTGCTGAGTTCATGCTTTATCTGTTGTAGGACCTGGAATTCTATCATAACATAATCACTTCCTCCCAAGTTTCCCCGACACCTTCATGTCCTCCACCAATTCTTCCCTGTTGGTCAGGTCAAGATCCAAGATAGATGATCCCTTAGTTGTATCCTCAGCCTTCAGGAAAAGAAAGTTGCCATCCACACAAGTTACTAACTGGCTCTACATTTTATATTTGGCTATATTTTTCATCCAGTAGATTTTTTTTTTTTTTTTTAAATTGAAGCCTCTCATCAGTAACATCTCATAGTTTCTAGATAATTTTGTCACTTCCTTGAAAAATGTCTCACTCCCCTCTTCTTCTTGACTTGGTAGCCTATAATAAATCCCCACCACTATATTTGTGCTGTGTATTTCACCTTTTATCTTCATGCAAATGCATTCTGATCTGCCATCTTATTCCTCTTGAACCAGGGAATATGTATTTTTGACCTACAAGGCAACATCACCACTTTTTTCCCCAACCCTATTCATCCAAAACATCACTGAACCCTTTAAGAGTGCATATGGGACTCTTTCTGCAACTAGTTGCAGAACTGGGACTTTGTTGCTTTATATGGAAATGCAAAACTCTTTATATGGTATTCTTTATTTTATAAAAATGCTTTATATGGTATTCTTATATGTCTTCTTTTAGGTCTGGTCCAATACTACGTTCTGGACATTTGCTGTTAATCAAACTGAACTGTGCGATATTTTTATTTGAGCACTAATGATTATTATTGTGTTATATGGGACATAGAAGAAAAGGTAGTGCCTACTTCTGTAATTTATATTGCATGTTAGAGAGACTGTAAGATTCAGGCACTTTGTATACCATATGATCCAGAAAAAGTCCCGAATAATAACTTAAGAAATAGTTAAAATATGTAAGAGAATGCCTACATATTTAAATAGTTAAAATATGGAAAAGGATGCCTACATTCACAGTCCCTTCAATATTTATAGAAGGATTTTAAAATGTTTCATAAAATTTAAAACATTCTATTAAATAGTATGTATTTAGGCCTGAAAGTTGCAGTAGAAAACTGTCTAGGAGCCACCTCAAACAACTGTAGAGGATCTAAAATATTTGAAGAATGTTTTGATTTAGAAATTATATCATATTCTAGTGATCCCTCTTGTCTGGAGTCAGGAGGATGTCACTAATAACCAAAATACATACATAATTCCATTGTGGATTATATTAATAAAAACACAGTTGGACCCAAAACTATCCACAATGGAAATTGTTAATGGCTATGTTAAATTACAAAGTCACCCAAAAATGGCATGTCTAATCTAATTTATTTCAGTTGAGAAGGTGCACTAACTTAGATTGAGATCAAGTTAACCTGATCTATGAAGAAATTAACCCATTCTCAGCACAAGGACTCTTTAAAGGATAACAATCTTCCAGTGAGGCAGGAGTGAAAATGGAAGAAACTGGTGACACTTTGTAAGTTAGAGAAATTACTGATAAGTTAGAGAGGGAGTCCTATAAACCCCTGGTTAAGAGAACTGACCTTTGTAATCACAGCTTTTGTTATACGTGTCTGTTCCTTTTCCTTGAAAATATAGCTACGTGAAGCTTGAGGATTCAGGAATGAAGAAGAGCCTGGATCCAAGTCTTTCAAGACACCACATCCCCACCCTGGGTATGTATCTTTTTCTTAACCAGTCCATCGCATTCGTACCCTTACCTCATTCTCTGATACTTTAATAGTGCCTTCATTCCCATAGTTTATCTGTAGCAAATTAAAGAGTGTTTTTGATGTTTCAGGTATTGTCTGGTAGTTGTGCATGGGGGTTGTTCCTGAAGTTTTTAAGAACATTTTAGACAAATACTTAGCTAGGATGGTTTAGTCAGAGATGATCCTGCCTTGAGCAGGCTTTTGGATTAGATTGCTTCCTGGGGTCCCTTCCAGCACTACTTTTCTATGTGTCTATGACTTACAAGGGGAGAGGGGCTACTAGCTTTCAAGGGAGAATCATCTCTACAAAAACTAAAAGGGATATAGTCTCATTCAGTCACCAGAGAGAGCCTATTTCTTAGTAAGGCACAGCTAGAGACTGCCGATAAACATGCTTATCTTCTCTGCTACTACTGAAGACTACAGATCAACTGGTTGCTTTGCTTCTGTTGTAATAAGCAATAGCCAGTTAGGGTAACCATATAGAGGAGCCTCCATGGGCTGCGGAGGAGGGGAAAGCAATGAGATTCTGACTCCGATGTATATACTAGTATTGATGATTTTGAGGTTGAGAGCATTGTCAGTATTCTACCAAAGAAATGTTTCCCATTTCTAAGGGTGCAATATTTTCTGAGAGAGTTCTCAATAATATTTTGGTAGAAAATCAATTGATAGATCTACCAAATTAACACTTCATTTTTTTCCCCCTTCTTTACTTTTTCAGACTATTTGGATGTAATAAGTATTCAGGGGTTTTTTTTCTATTTAATTATTTAAAACATTCTTTAAATCTTCCAAACCATACAATACAGGTTAAGCTATAATGTTAACTTTTGTTTCCCAAAAAACTTCAGGTTATCCTTGATTTGCCAAGAACGTTATTCCTATTATACAATAAAAAAAAAAAATTACATATCCCCTTGGAATGGTCAATGGTATTATACTCTTCGTTTTCTTATCCATCTGTTCTACATTGGCATATCATAGAATGCCTCATGCTCATTAGAGCTGTGCGAAATTTCACCAGGTGTTTCATTTCAAAGCTATTTTGATGCATTTTGAGCTCTAAACAGTGAAATCGAAATGAAACAAAAGACTTTGAATCAGCTTCAAAACAAAATGAGGGAACTCGAAACATTTCAAAGGTTTCAAAATGTTTCAAGTTTTGAAAATAAGCCTACTTGGCTTTAGCACTGGTCCCAAGCACCAGCAGCAGCCTCATCTCATTTGGTGCACAGATCCGGGGGCCCACACCCCTGGAAGGCCTGTGGGGCTATGCTGGACTCCTCCCAGGGGTGCAAGCCCCCAGATCTATGCGTCAGATGAGACAAAGCTGCTACTGCCACCTGGGACCAGCGGCAGCAACCATCTTCCCCAGCACTGGGTGCAGGCTGCGCCCAATGCTGGTCCCAGGTGGCAGAGGCAGCATCTCATCCAGCACACAGATGAGATCTGTCTCATCTCATCTCTCATCCAGCACACAGATCTGGGGGTTTGCACCCCTGGGCAGAGTCCAGCACAGCCCAGCAGCCCTCCCAGGGGTGCAAACCCCCGGATCTGTGCCCTGGATGAGAGGAGGCTGCCTTGGCCACCTGGGACCATAGCTGGGCACAGGCTACATCCAGCACCAGAGAAGACTGTGGGCCAGAGAAGATTGCTGCTGCTGCCTGTCCCAGGCAGACAAGAGGAGGCTGCTGCTGCCAGCAAGTGTCAGGAATTGTGTTTTGAAGAGTTTGAGGGGCAGTTTCACAGAAACATCTATACCTATCTCCTTGAAACTTGGCAGGTTTTGTGCTCTCAGAAGGGACTACCATCCCTGCAATTTTCATCCAAATCAGGCAAGAAATTACAACACTTTAGGCATTTTCATGAACAGCAAAACAGTTTCAACAAAACGAAATGGGACAGTGCTTCGAAATGAAATGAAACAATGAAACGAAACACTGTCCCTTCAAAATGGTGAAATGGACCTCGAAATGAAACAATGGTGTTTTGCACAGCCCCAATGCTCATTAGAATATCTACCTTTACAACACCCTTGTGATACAGTAACATATCCTTAGATTCACTGAGGATCTGAGAGGTTAATTTGCCAAAGGTTGGAAAGAATTTGGGAACAAAACCTGAATTTGGGATTTCTGAATCACAGGCCAGAACCTCAACCACAAGACTACCTGCTGTTTGCTACTGTTACTTTGCATGGCACTCTTAAGTGAATAATTTTTGGACACAGCATGAACAAGTTAAAATACTTTAGAAGGAATGGCTTATATGGGAGCAAGAAAAAAGATGATGGCACACAGATTATGTCAAAAAGGATTTGGGTGTCCCTAGTTACAGAATGTCATTTATTTTGGGGGGCCGCATAGAATCATAAGATCATAGGAAAGTAGGGTTGGAAGGGATCTCAGGAAGCCATCTAGTGAAGCTCCCCCACCCAAGGGAAGATCATGCATAGTTAAATCATCCTAATCTAACCTGCTTTTAAAAATTTTTAAGGATGGAGATTCCACAACCTCTCTAGGCTGTGTAGTTGACATCTTGTTACTATGCTCTGACATATTTTAATATACATATATTTATTAAAATTTATGGGAAAAGAGTTGTAAAAACAATTTATTTTATGCAATATTAATGATAAAGAAAATAGGTTCCTTTTCCATTAACATGCAGAATAGAACCAAGTTTAGGATACCCTTGAATTCACTAAGATTATTATGGCTTTTCTGACCTGGGTTTACTTTTTGTTCTTTTCTAAAAAGTTGGATAAAGATCATAGAATACCATTCAATAGTATTAAGAGATTTAAACTTTTTAAAAATACAGATCATATCATTTGCTCGCTTAATGCTTATTGGAAAAAAACTGCTCTAATACTACGATACTTGCAAGCCTTGAGTGAATTGCAAGTCCCAATACACAAGCGCCTACTCTAATTAAGAAAAGGTCACTGTATGTCCGCCTCATAGTGACTGACAGAGCAATACACCCTGGAGTTCATAATGATCTTTGTTCAAGGAAATTACATTCTTCATTACAATTTGCATAAATTAACTAACTGACTGTAAGATTTTTCTACAGTAATTTATATATAAACTAGCAATGTAATTTGATTTTAATATCTAACCAAATTATGGAAGAAGAGATAGAGAGTATGCAAATAAAAAGACAGATACCAGTGCTCAGTTGTGTATCCAGAAATATGGAGTACACATTTTGAATTACATATTTAAGTTACATTCCCAAATAAGAAGTTCAATCAGATGAGAATTTGCTACAAAAAAGTCAAAAAGTTAACCGACTCAAGATTCACCTAAAGGGCAACCATCTGAAACTTTTTTATATGGCCTCTTCCTTTGAACAGGAAACATTTTTACAGTTCAGTCTTTGAGTTCCTGTTACTAGTACCACCTGATGGTTCAGTGTGCGATTCCTAACCAGCACTTCCTTGAGACAATGAGCACTGTGTGAGCCATATAATAGCTTGGATTCCATTAATCATTTAATTTGCCCATATAAGGCTGAAGAAGGGAGAACAAGCAAGGGAGGCTCTGTTCTAACAGTCTGCTGAAGTAATTTCCCCCCCCCCAGCACTGTCAGCATGGATCCCTATTTGGGATTCTGGGTTCTGTCACTGCTGACAACCTTTGAAAGGGGGAATTAAGCGCAACTCAAGGAACTCATTTTAAAATCCAAGGGTGCAGACAAAAGTGACAGCTTTTGAGCCATCTGGCCCCTGAAAGTGCTCTACAGCCATGATTAACACACAGGCATGGCTGAAAAGCATTTTAAAAATAGCAAATCACACAAAAAATTGTTCTGGTTAAATCAGGTATTACATTAAGGCACTCAAAAGCAGAGCACCTTAGGGCTGTCAGGGGGAAGGAGAGGGAACTGCTGGCTGCTGAATGGCCAGAGCTGGGGGAGAAGATGAGGGGGAATTGAACCCTCTTACCTCACAGCCCCCCCCAGCTACCTCATCTGAGGTACAAGGGGAAGCTGGGTCAGACACCCAAGGTGAGGGGTATTCTCCCCTTCCCTCTCAGCTCTGGCCAGTCAGCAGCTGGGAGCAGCCAGCAAAGAGCACAGACATATGTGCTCACCTAACTTGAAGGTCTTCAAGAGGAGGCTAGATAGACACCTGGCTGGGGGCATATGACCTCAGATCTCTTTCCTGCCTGGGGCAGGGGGTCAGACATGATGATCCTTTGTGGTCCCTTGTGACTCTACAATCTATGGATCTATGAATCTATGAAAGGAGCTGTCAGTTGCTGAATGCTCAAAGCTGAAGGGGAGGGGCTAGGAATGGGGCCCCCTCAACTTGCAACCTCCCACCCTAGCTACCCTGGATGGAGTAATAGGAGGAGGTGGGTTGGGCTGGAGCATTCCTGTCTGCTGACCTGGGCTGGTGCAGGCTGCCTACACCCCCCCCACCCCTCCCCAACCCAACCGGTGAACATCTGTTGGGTCAAGGGGGCATTCTAACTCATGGCACTATGTAAGGTATCATGAGTTAAGCAGGACCCTAACATCTGTCTGTACTCCAAGTGAATAGTCATTTAACCTTTGAAAAAATATTTCCCCAAACAGCACTGATTTTGCCCCCAAAGCATTGATATTCACTTCTCAACAGGCAGCAGTTATAGGAACAAGTGGCCATCCCCAAATGCCTAGTTCTCTGGAGTTCCACATAGATCTATCATGTTCCCTTTCCCCTTCAATGGAGGAGCAGTGAAATGCTCCAGTTCCTGTTGCCAGCAATATGCTGTTAACATTTCACTGCATATTTAATTTTCCACAGATGCAGCCAATGTCATCCTGAGGATATCACCATGTTAAGGGATCTTGCATGGATGAAAAATAGTTATTTCAAACTAAATTCAAGCAAAAACAAAATTCTGCTGGACATACATGGGAAACATTATGAAGTACTAGCAGAGTTACGGTCCCCCCTATCCATTATACAACTTAATTACTATATTTTTTGGAGCACGTATTTCTTTATTTTTGGCTTGGATGGTGTATTTTGTAGTAATACCAGAACTCACTGAATGTGGAGAGCATTCTAACCCTGTGATCAAAATATATTTAAGGAATCCACAAAAGCAGTGATGATCCTTCAGTTCTTGAGGTGTTGTCCTCAAGTAGCTGTTTATAGTTTGGATGGGCTCTAGAGTTAGATGATAATGGTTTTTAATTAATATTACAACATCATAACCACCATTCCAGGCCAGACCAGAAGTCCTCATAACCCAGAAAAAAGGGGTCCCCCAAACCCATCTTTTCTTGACAGTGGCAAATAGGGCAAACTTTAGAGGAAGTATGTAAAAAATGTGGCCTAGCTGGAGTGATCCACCCCCTGTCATACCCTCCCATGTACCAGCAATTATAGCTTTAGCAATTTCCTGCCTGTTATATTTAACAGCTGCTGATGGATCTACCTTACACAAATTTATCTAATACCTTTTGGGACCCAATTCTACTATTGAACTTCCTGAGGTAATGAGGAAATTGTTAAATGTACTATGCAAGCAATAGCATGAAAATGCTGTCTTCAATTTGAAATGCTAGAGTTCCCAACAGGTCACTATATAACAGGCCGTAATGTTACTTGGATGCACTTACATAAGCTCTCCAAAGAAGGAAGGGTTTTGGAAAACTTCACTATATGCACCATTTCTGTTTTGTTTAGTGAAGGAACATTATATTGCTTGGCATGCATGACTAACATGATCAAAAATGCAAATAAAAGAATAGCAGACTCTATGGAGGCATCATAATATTTACCGTAAAACTAAAGGGCAGCTCAGCCAGCTTGAAAATCTCTAAACAGAATTTAAATATATAACAAGAAATATACCATTTTTAAAAGACATATAAACAGAGTAATACTTGCAAATAGCCTTGGATAAACAGATAATGCTGAGAATTTCAGTATCTTGGGTAAAGAGCAGAAAATACAACTTTACTGAACAGTGCAACAATCTGTGTACAAAGCCTCTTACAAGAAGCTAGGTACAGATTCATTTTGGCACATTGTGAGAAAAACAAAACAAGGTATAATCATGTAGAAAACATGAAATTATTATTACCAGTCAGAAAGAACAAGAGATTGATTTCCAAGGAAACAATTAAGATTGAGATATCAGTTGAACATATAATATCAGTTTCCAATCATGCTTGGAGTCTTGAATTAAATAGAAAACCAGTGTTAGAGATCTCCCACATAAAGTGCATTTAAAAGCACTAGCACTAAGAGAGGCAAGGCTTAAAGAAGCTATATAATGTGTGAAATGTTTTGTTTGATGTATTTATATATGACATTGTTTCCAGAAGATCCAAGTATTCCACATTATTGAAAATGAGTAATTAAAATATGCAATACATCTAGTATTACTTTACCTTCATTATTATTATTCTTCATATAGTGTTCATAATACTGAAGTACCACCTTATAATGGTTCGTTTGTAAGGTCACACCATCATTCAAACAAATATTAAAAGGCCTGACTAACTAGATCAATTATAATGAACTGCTAGAAAGAATAAATTCTATGGACAAGGATGGAATTGACAGGAAAAAAAAAAACATTCTTACGACAAAGCAAAAGTGAGTTCTTTCCACATTGTAGCCATTTGTTTGATAGTTTTATCACTTAAACTTGTGAAATATTAAACATGAAACAAGCAGAAATACATATAACTTATATTTAACATCAATCTGGCTGTAACAGGGTCCTTGACAGGAGCCCTGTTACTTGGGGAAAGTCTCCACAGCTGGCAGTCATGATGCCCAGGCAAGGGCAGGAGGAGATTCCCCACACCACTGGTAAGCCAATGGGACCCGGCTTTCGGGAATAAAGGAAGGAAGAGGCCCCGGGAAAAATGCCTTCGGGCACTTAGAGAGTGAAGAGGAGGATCATCCGGGACCTCAGAAAAAAGATGAGGAGAAGAGCCAGGTAGCCTCCAGATGCTCAGTATGGATGCATGAAACCCCAGCCGCTGCAGTGAGTCAAAGGAAAGGAGTTGCAGGTCCAGGCAGTGACACAGCATGGCATCCTGAAGCAGAGAAGAGCTCCCTAGTTGGGACCTGAGAGGGGAAGCGGAGGGCAATCTCGAAGGGAAAGAGACCATCCTGAAGTTTCAGCACCAGCTCCACCAGCTAAGGTACTCCCAGAGCTGAGCCAGCACAAACCACGGAGAGGCAGTAAGAGACGTGGCCAGCCTCCGCTGCTAAGGAGGCAATTAGTGGATATTAAGCCGAGTCACCAGCTGGAGTGACTCCCACTCAGGGGGACTGGGTCAGGACTCCCACTGGTCGAGACCCACGGAGGGGGCACAGCCAGAAATGCCCCTCACAGTAATCAGCAGGAGATAAAAGGCCTCATTTGCGTGGGCTGCTAATGAGGTAATTAGTACTGAGAGTCTCCCAGCTGGCACTTACCTTTAGGACAGCGAAGCTGGTGATCTTTCCTCAAGCATGAGGGTGACTCTGGGGAGTAGAAGGGGGATGAGCTGCCGCCTGTGGTCCGGGCTGCTGTAAAAGGAAGACAAGAGAATAAAGCACCTGGAATTACATGATGAGTCAAGCGTCATTACTTTGCGGGTACCTATTAACACTCCATCTCTTTCCTCCCTTAATAAGATCAAAGTTATGGCAGGCAAGAACCAGAGAAAGGGGCGGTACCCTGCAGATCTGATAACACTGGCATTATGAAAAAGGAAACAAATTGGCTACTACCAGTGTGTCATATGTGTGAATATCATGTATTAAAAAGGAAACACTGGCTTTTAAATATGATTTTCTAGTGTAATCTTAATCCAGTTTATTTGCCTTTATTCTCAGTGAGCTCTCTCTCATTAATCCAAAACGGTGAAATATAAAATTCTGACATTATAGAAATATTCATAAGAGAAGAACATGTGGTGCTGAGGAAATAAAACTACCTGTAGAGAAGTCTGGATGCCTTAGGGCCAAATACATACTCTTGGGCATTATAGGGCACTGAGGGATTTTTGTTTGTTGTTAGTTTGTTTTTTTAAAAGAAAAATGGTCAACACAACAACTTTAAAATTATAAAAAGCTCAGATGAAAATGGTATAACAGGGAAAAGAAGAAAGTTCAAAGGAAAAGCATGTCTCTCTAATCTACTAGAATTTTTTGAGAAGGTCAATGGAAGTAGCTAAAGACGAACCGGTTGATTCATTTTATTTAAAAACTTTCTAAAAGGCTTTGGTGCAGTCCCTCACAAAAGGCTAGAAAAAAAAAGTAATGAGTGGTGGGTTAAGATTTCCATCAAATTAGAAATTGAAAAATACACCCAGAAAAATCTATATGAATAAATGGTCAATATAGGAGAGGAGAGGAGCACTGGAAGAAAATTTAAAACAGTACTTTAAGGATCTGTATTAGGGCTAGTGTTCTCATTTTTTTTTAATTCCATGCAAGCAGGACCTAGCAAACGGATGAATCAACTTTTTCTCATTCCAGAAAATAAGTTATGCTAATCCATACTGTAGATGGAATAATATCTGAGTATGGTAGAATAAAATTACTTGGGATTCTCACTTTCATTCATAGATTTGAGTTTAGAAAATTTACCAGATAATGCCAACCAGGCTCAGGGAGCATCTTGACACCAACTGAAATAATCTGGTTCACTTAATTTATTATAGTAAACATAGCATATTACAATTCCCATGGTATTGTTATTAAATATTTAAAAGGAAAAAAAGCAGCTAAAAAGTTAGATAAAGCTGAACTTTTAATTAAATGCTACTTAAAACAATATTCTTAGAGATTAGTAACTCTAGGAAAGCAGAGGAAAGTAAAATTAGGAGCCAAGTTTCCACAAATAAACTTAACTCTTACCATCCTTTCCTAATCTACAAACAGTACTCTTTCATTAACCCATCATCTGTATTTTCAATATTGATCACATAATTTCATATCTTATACATTTCCTACTGGCCATGTCTACACAAGACGCTGACTGCACAATAGCCTGAAAGTACTGCGCAGTAGCGTTGTATGGCAGAAACCATGACATGACGCTACTGTGCACTAACCTTGGGCTATTGTGCAGTCAGCATCAAGAAAAAGCCATTCATCAATGCTATTAAGCAGTAATGCAGGTTACTGCACAGTCACTTAGTACTTGTTTATAACTCAGGTTTACTGCGCAGGCAGCATCTTATGTAGATGCAGCCACTGATTCTAAGATGTGCATTATTTCTACTTCAGATTAGATCCAACATCTAAATGTTCATAGCAAAACTCACCGTGTATCTCATATACACAAAAAGAGATAAATACTTCTTTATTCAAATATAAGTTTGGAAAACACAGTTTACTTCAACTAGTATCTATATGCTGCACTGGGCACCCAATATATCTGTTTCATCTAGTTGCCTTAGTGTTTGTAGCCCATCCCTCAGAAACAGATCTGAGATACATTTTATTCTCTACTCCATACCAAATTGTAAATTCTGTAATCTCTGCAAGATGCTGAGGCATGTGTGCACAATGTATTTCATATTCAGTGTAGTCAACATTACCAAAATGTTTTAAACAAAGGAAAGCTGGACTCAAAGCCAAGGTAATTTGCAAGGCCTTAGCAGCAAGTTTTCTAGTTTTTACAATGATGTATGTTAACTAAAATGTATGTTAGATTCTTAACTCTCCATGTCTAAATTTTTTTACCCCATTTCCAGGAAGACTAGATTTTATCCTTGTTGAAAAATAGTCCAAGCTAAGAAACAGAATAATAGAAAGTAAGTGTGGGAAGGGACCTCAGGAGGTCATCTAGTCCAACACCCTGCTCAAAGCAGGACCATCCCAACTATATCATCCCAAGGTAG